CAAAAGGAAGTCAAAGGGCAGGTTCCTAGTTCTGTCTAAGTCTAATAGGGGGTCTAGATTCAGACACCCAGTCCGAAATCCAGGCCAAATGGCCGCAGCAGCAGCAAACCCTGAGGGGAAAATACTGGGACACACACATACGCATGGGTCTGGGACTGAAGGAGGCCCAAAGTGCCAATGCAGACCAATGCAGACCTCGCCAGGGGAGGCCAGCAGTATAAAACAATAGGCCAGCCTCCCTTGACAGGAGATTCCCACTGGCATACTGGCGTGGAAGTGTTGTGTGCACTTGTGCGCTGGCTAGTTGGGTAAGCGTTGGAGGAGAAGCTGCGCTGAGAAGAGGAAGAGAGCTGGGCGCCGACTTGCAAGTGGCAGCCATAGCTGCGCCAGCTAATTAGTATAGGTAGAGGGTTAGTTGTTAGTCTACAGTGAGGAGCATTCAAAGTAGATCTTCGTGGTAGGAGTGTGCATGTATGATGAGAGAAAAGGACTAAGACTGAGATCTTGAGAGAGAGAGAGACAGAGAGAGGGGGGAGAAGGACAGGTTGACGAGTTGGCTATGGTGAGCTCAGCCAGGCCCTGTTGAGCTGATGTTCGAGAGAGGAACATATCATGATTGTTGAGTGCTGGATTCATGAACTCGAGATACTCTTTATAACGTGTTTGAGATAATATGAGCTGCGTGACTTGGTTCTCACCTCATCCCCATTATGCGTTGTGCGTGGAGTCATAATATGTGTGAATGGTGAAGTGGCATGCATTGTGTTACACTCTGGCAAGTGTTGACAGTCACGTCCCTTGCACGTAGTCTTATCCTAGGGGAATGCCATGATACTGAGTGACATTTTGGTTGGCAAAAGACTCTAGCTAACCTCATGCGCGCGTACATATGGCTTGGGATGAAAGGCCGACTGCATAGAGTATGTTCGCAGTTGTAAGGTCTGCCAGAGAAATAAGACCTCTACGTGTGCCCCTCTAGGTCTTCTCAGATCCTTGCCTATTCCTGATCAGCCAGGAGATTCAGTGTCCATTGACTCTATGGACACCCATGTCAAGAGTAGGCACGACAAGAGCCAAGTCACGGCAATAGTTGACCGATTCAGTAAGTATGCTGTTTTTGTTCCTTTGCCCTCAGAGGCACGTACAGAGTTAGTTATTCAGAAGTTCTTTGACCATTGGGTCAGTGAACACGGGATTCCATTGTCTATAGTTAGAGATAGAGACACCCGATTCACCAGTCAGAACTGGCAGGAGTTAATGAGAGTCTATGGCTCTAAGTTGTTGATGTCATCTGGTCGTCATCCAGAGACTAACGGTCAGACTGACCAGATGAATAAGATCCTGCAACAAGTTCTGCGTATGTACATTAGACCGGATCAGATCAATTGGGATGAGATGTTGCCCAAAGTAGCCAGTGTACAATAATAGCATGCACTGGTCTACCTGTCGCACTCCCAACGAGTTACACAAGTCCTTTAGACCATGCAGACCGTTTGAGGGACTTAATCGGGACCAGATTCACAGGCTACCACCCGGTAATAGGGAGTTTGGGTTACAGCACGAGAAAGAGTTAGCTACCGTGGTAGAGAACCTCAGGAAAGCCCAACACCGAATGATAGAACAAGCTAATAAGCACCGTCGCCCGTCACAGTTTCAAGTAGGTGACCTGGTTTGGGTCAAGTCCAAAGAGTTTGCTCCTGAGGAAAACATCTCGCAGAAGTTACTGCCCGCGTATAGAGGACCGTGGCCACTTCTGGAAGTTGAGGGCGGAGAGGATGGGTCGTCCTTCACAGTAGAGATCCCAGCACACCTCCACACCTACCCTGTGTTTCATGCCTCAAAGTTGTTGCCGTGTATCACAAGTCAACAGTTTCCATCTAGAAGATCCATGATTCCTCCAGACATGGACGGCAGGTACGACATTGACGGCATTGTAGGTGAAGACGTGTTCAGAACAGGAGGTAGAGGTCGTCTGCAGAAACAATACAAGGTTCGGTGGACGACCGCTGGTTTACTAGAACAGAACTTCTAGAAACAGCTCCCGATGTAGTTAGAGCCTACGAGAGAGACAAGAAAGGTAAAGGTCCTGCCTTGGACTAAGTTATTCTCGGAGGACCTCGAATTTAGGCCGGCGGGATTGAAATGGTTTTCACCTTCTAGCAGTAGCAAAGGCCGATCCCAGGCCTCGATCCCTAGTTCTCACCTTACCTGTGTACAGTATCTGTGTCGACCCCGAGTGTTTGAACCCGTGACCTGTGTTTTGACAGTTGTTGTCTGTTGTAGGTCTGTGTAGTGGTAGGGGTTCGATCTGTAGGTCTGTCGAGTAGGAGCCACAGCCCTGTAGAGGTCGTAGCTGTAGGGATCCTGAAAGGTCAAGGTCGTAGCTGCTACAGTCCTGATAGGTCAAGGTCGTAGCTGCTACAGTGCTAAAAAAGCCAAGTCCAACTTCCGGAAGGTCCGGAAGTGGCCTTTCGAAGCTGCTCACGTTTGAGACAGAGGCAAGTGGGCAAGTGGTGGAGTCTACCCGTGCTGAGTCAGCAGTCCCAGTCCCAGTCAGTCCTAGTCCAGTCCAGCAAGTCCCGTACGGGACTGTGGGCACCACGGGCATGGGAAAGGAGCATAAATTGAGAGGCAGCAACCAGCCATGGATTCATTCCTGCGTGAGCCATGCGGAAGCGCTGCCATAGCGACTTGTGCGAGGTGGTCTGCTGTGGCATACTGCGTAGCCACACGGGCCCTGCAGGGCCCGTCCCGCACTTTCAGCCTAAAAGCCTAAAAGTTAGGGCTTACAGGCCCCGGTCGTTTCAGCCTGAAAGCTGAAAAACAAGGGCCTGCAGGCCCTACTCCGTTTTCAGCCTATCACTGGGCCTTTCAGGCCCAGAGGCTTTTCAGCCTGAAACGGAGGGCCATTTTCAGGCCCTCATTGTGTTCGACCTACCTAAGACTCAGGCACAGAAACAGGGTTTCGGGAATAGGCGAGAAATAGCCTGTTCCCCACGCCAGCTCGAGCAGGAGCTGCAGCTGCAGCCCCTGCCTCCCTTCGGCATTGGCAAGAGCAGCCTCCTGGACTGCTCGCCT